TTTTATTTCCACATAAGAAATTTGGCACTGCCCAGGCATTCTATAAATGGCTTCATTGTCTCCTGATATTAAATGTTTTTGCATTGAAACTAAAAGATCATCCATTAGCAAGCCATCCCTTTTCACCTCCTCATCTTCTCAGCTACTCCTTGTGTTCTGGAACTCCAGATGAGGAAATCCTGCTAGTATGGAAAGGAGAAAAATGTGAGTAGTGCCCAAAGGCATCAGCCTCTGTGCTATGTCTCTGTGTGTTGGGGAAGGCAGGAGAATCTGGGCCTGGAGAAAAATCTGCCTTACAGAATCCAGATGCACAAAATAGATCAATTTGCTTGTGATTATTCATTGACAAAAAAAATAAACAAATCACCCAGACTGCCTCTGATAACAAAACCATTAAATACATCGAAAATATGATTCGTTTCATGAACAGCTTTCCAGAAGCACATCTACTGGGAAAAGTTGGGTTAACTCTCAACTATTCGTTGGTGGATTCCTGCATTAGTGGATTATAAACAACCCTGAAGGCTTTGGTCAGGCCCCAGGAAAGGGTCTGGGTGAGGATGAGACTTAATCTGTGAGTGTTCCTGAGCCTCACCCTAAGTGACTGGAGGATGGCCTGTTGAGGTTTTTCTACCATTAGTGTTATTTATCACTTGTGTTGCTTTTTCTCTTCATGGCTCCAAAGCCTGAAATTCATGTGCACATACAGATATAAAATCACTTGGAAAAGAAGGAAAACTATTAGCCTAAATCCTCTAGTATTTGATTTTACTAAATGACAGTCCCAAAGTCTACTGCTAATAAAATGTTAATTGCACTCCTGGTACAAACTGTATCTGAACATTGGTGAAGAGCTCTACAGTCCTTATCCCAGGACCTGGCTAAAACCCCCACTGCTTCAAAGTGTTCACTCATGAATAATTAGAACTTGGGCCTGTACATGTGTCCTGACACATACTGACACCCATGGAACTATACAGACACGCAGTGTGCCAAAATAGAAACAAACACATCTTGCATGTGCTTTTAAAAGACAAGTGAATACTTTAAAAGCTTCTTTATCTTAAGAATTTGATAGAATCAATATGTGGTGTTTAACAGTTCCCTTTGGCAACTCTTCAGCCTTGAACACGCTGACTGTAAGACAGGGAAGCTGTGGGATATTGATCAGTTCCTGGCGTGCTCAGGATAGTCTTTACTTCCGGGTCTTGAGCTATGGACCCGCCATTGGGATGTGGAGCCCTGGCTCCTATAACCACCACAGGGCCTCTGGTCACCAAAGGCTAAGTCTGTTTGGAACTTCAGGCTTGGGTAGCTCCCTATGTGAGTGCTGCTACGAGGGAGTGCTCGTGAACAGGCTTGCAACATTGGAGATGGATAATGGTCCCTTGCTGAAATAATGCTTTGCGCCAATGACATACGCCCCTTGGTCAGATTTAATAGAGAGGCTTACAGAGTTCCGACTTCATAGAGAAAAATTTAAAAACTGAAGTGCAAAGAAGACAGCAATATTTTTGCTTTTAAAGCATCTTTTAAAAATAGGGGAAATGACAGCCAAACCTCTGAAAAGTATCTTCAATCCACATGCAGTATCTGTTTGCCTACATCTGTGAGATTTGGCCTCAGAGTCCTGCTTACTGGACCTCAGCCCCAAAGGTAAGAGGTGATGGATGATGGTGACACTAAAGAAGGGAGGCACCTGCTGAGAGAGGAAAGTGGAGAGGAACGGAACCTACCAAAACCTTTCTCCCCTGCCTTTTCTTGATTTCACTGGCCCATTTCTGAAGTGGCTACAAGAGATAAGGCCAGGGCTGGCTGAAGGAAAAACTGCAAAGGATTTAGTTTCTGTGAAATCCACCTACCTATAATTTCCTCTTCACTGCCTCCCCATCTCCAGCCTCTGTCCCACCCCCCACCCCCAGACTGAAGGGAAGCTGCTTCAGTACACCACTGTCCCGGAGGGGTCTGCATTTATAAGAACACCCTCGAAGGCCAAAACCAAAGGGAATTTGGCTATAATTATGGGCAGAGTAGGCATTCTGGGGAGTTGTGGGAGCAGGCAGGGTATTCGTCATGTCCTAGGACTCCCAGAATATGACTCCCCTTGAGTCCAGGCCAGGAAACAGAGACCCCATCATTCAGCTTTCCTTTAGGGTAACAGACTGACCTCTTCAACATAATTACCCAGCTGTGAATCAGGTCTAGCAGCAGTGAGGCGCCCCAGGCTGTTAATCCCTGGGAGGCACCTCCAGCTCTGTTGGCACTCATCCTTCTCTTGACTGACTGAACTGCAGGAAGGAGGCCCAGTTATGGTGTCTGCAGTTGTCCCTGAAATCCAAAGAGCTCTTCAAAGACACTGCACACCTCCAGTTTGGAATTTAGGGTGTAGGCATCTGCCAGAAAGGTGTGGCTTGAGAAACAAGAATTTGGCCTTATCAGGAAGGATAGTGGGGGCCTTTGGAGGCAAGACCAACAATAACTAGCAACAAATTCTGAATGATCTGGTAGAATGTATTCTTTCTTGGGGCCTCCTCTTCTTGCCTCTACGAATGTCCACATGTACACCCCTGGAGAGAGAGGAGAGAAGGAAAGGCGTAGTTTCCAACAGCCCCTAAGAATAAAATAAAAATTCTCTCTGGAGCTGCCCCCAGAACCAAGAGCATATGCAAAGAGCGTCAGGACTCAATAAAAATGATCAAACTGTAGAAGGACAAGGCATTTAAAATGCAGCAACAGAACTCAGGAGATAAGCTCAAAGCCTATTTCCATCTTTCCTTGAGTTTGATTATTTTCATTCTGGACCCTCGAGCCTCACTCTCTTCACCTAATAGCTCTGTTAATTCCAATTCTTTTCATCACTTAGCCTCTAAGACTACTCAACAGCATGGTAAGAAATGGATTCTTAGGGTATTTTCCAACAGAGTCAGGGTCAGATAATGTCGTAAAACATCCCCCCCCAGCCCCCAACACCTTTTCTGGTGCCCCTCTAATGCACTGCATGACTAATTCTAGTCCTGCTATATGCATTCTTATGTTCTTACCATATTTAATGACTCAGTACTAAAGCCCTGTTTTAAAACATTTTTCTTGTTTCTAGCATGTAAATACTATTTAAAAAATCTTCATTTGCCATTTTCAGGGAAACTTTAGTGTGTTTTACCCAAGAGAATTTAGTCTACTTGGCCCCAGATGAAATGGTCAGTATTGTTTGCCCAGGGTGCAGACACCTTGGAGATATTAATCCTCCTTTTATGCTCATTGTCCTGGAATTGGTTACTTTTAATAAAAGGTCGGTCAATCCTTCCTGAGAACAATGTGGAAACAAACTTAACAAATAGTCTTCCCTTCTGAGACTAGATGTTAACTTTCTAAAACATAATTAACCAGATGCCAGTCAATGAGTGCACTTTTGACTTCAGGTCTGGGGAGTTTAGGTGCCTCCAATTTAGTAGGGGTCACAGTGCTAGTTATCTAATTGACAGTCTCTACCTGCCCTCTCAAGTGGCTGCAGAACGATGCCTAGTAAATTAACATAAATGCCAAATCCTTCTGAGGAAACAGGTCTATATCACGACTACGGAATGGGCATTCAGGTTTGAGACCAAGCAAGACTTCACAATAAGGATATAAATACCAGCCTGGGCACAAGGGAAGATGTTCACCCAGTTATTGTACACACAAAATAACAGTGACTCACTTCACTCAGCATTACGCTTGGCCAGAGATTTTTAATTCCTTTTTAAAAACAAGACTATTGTACCACCAGGTAGAGATTTTATTATCCTCAATAATGGGATTGAATATGCCAAGGCATAGAAGGAGAAAATTAGATCTGCTGATCCCAGTGCCAAGATAGGGGTTACTGAAAGCTACAACAGGTCACTTCCGGTGGGCTTTTCAATGTCACAGTGGCCTGGAAACCCAGGAGAGCCATCGGGCAAGTGTCTGCCTCCAAGCAGGAGAGGTGGGGGAAGTCTAGCTAGATCCAGCCTCAAGCACTAGAATGGAGTGAAAACATGGGCACTTAGCGTACCTCTGCTATTCCAGTGCTTCTGGAATACTAACCAAGGAGGCCAAGGCACTAAGTAGTTAAGGAAAAAGGTTATTGATCTGGCTCTCTCCCTCAGACGCCATTGCCAAATAGTGCAGAGAAGCCAGCAGAGTCAGCCCCTGCTTGATACATCATCTACGAACAAGCAAAATTGGTCAAACAGGTCCCTGAAGACAAAATGCAAGCTATACACCTACAAGCGGAATTTTGATTTTTATCAGTTGCAGGGAGAGTTTGTGTGAATCGTGTTCCAGCTTCCACCTTTCCTATTCACTCAAACTCAGTGCTACTTATTGTGCTTCCCTCTGTGTCTCAGATTTATTGCTTCCTGGACTGATACTTGGCGGGGGCGGGGGGCATGGGGAAGAGGCTGTGATTTAGGTTCCCGTCAAGACTCAAATTAAATACAGTGCCTCCTTCTCCCTAAAGCCTTCCACTTGGCCAAACTTAGAGGAGATGATGAGACATTAACTCAGAACCCTCTGCCCACTACCTTCCTCTGTGCTGACCTCCAGCCAGACTTGTGGGGATGACAAGCCAAGCGGTGAGTGGCCAGGAACCTTCTCTGGAGTGTTCCACCAACCAGGGGAAACACAAACTCTGCAAGCTGCAGCCACAGCCCTAACCTCTTGCTGTATATAATCCCCAAGGGACAGACGCCAGTCTACTCGGCTTCCATACGCAAAAGTCCACCCCGCATTCTTAAGCCAGAAAGGAGCATGAAGATCTTAGCCCCTTGATCTTCTCTTTCACTTGCCATTACCATTTAGGATTCACTAAAATACAGGGCTCTCTCCCACAGGAGAAATTCTTGGCATTTACAAACTGTCACCACCAAGGCTGGTTGTATTTCCCTTGACCCAGTAGTCGCCCGTGACCAAGTTGGTTCCTCTCTTTCAAGAGGTTACTCCTTTCAAATTTTTCATCTGGTCTTTTTCTGCCCCCTCAGGTCATGGATTATATGGGACTTTTGAAATGTTATCCTCCTGGAGGAAAACTAGAGAAGACCAACATGTTAAAGAGAGAACTGCAGCAGTCTATGCAGACTCCATGCTCTCCTTTTCTCTCACCACTGCCATGTACCTGGTCACCTTTGGCATAGGGGCCAGCCCTTTCACGAACATTGAGGCAGCCAGGATTTTCTGCTGCAATTCCTGTATTGCAATCTTCTTCAACTACCTCTATGTACTCTCGTTTTATGGTTCCAGCCTGGTATTCACTGGCTACATAGAAAACAATTACCAGCATAGTATCTTCTGTAGAAAAGTCCCAAAGCCCGAGGCATTGCAGGAGAAGCCGGCATGGTACAGGTTTCTCCTGACAGCCAGATTCAGCGAGGACACAACCGACGGCGAGGAAGCGAACACTTACGAGAGTCACCTATTGGTATGTTTCCTCAAACGCTATTACTGTGACTGGATAACCAACACCTATGTCAAGCCTTTTGTAGTTCTCTTTTACCTTATTTATATTTCCTTTGCCTTAATGGGCTATCTGCAGGTCAGTGAAGGGTCAGACCTTAGTAACATCGTAGCAACTGCAACGCAAACCATTGAGTACACTACTGCCCAGCAAAAGTACTTTAGTAACTACAGTCCGGTGATTGGGTTTTATATATATGAGTCCATAGAATACTGGAACACTAGTGTCCAAGAAGATGTGCTAGAATACACCAAGGGGTTTGTGCGGATATCCTGGTTTGAGAGCTATTTAAATTACCTTCGGAAACTCAATGTGTCTACTGGCTTGCCTAAGAAAAACTTCACAGACATGTTGAGGAATTCCTTCCTGAAAGCTCCCCAGTTTTCACATTTTCAAGAGGACATCATCTTCTCTAAAAAGTACAATGATGAGGTTGATGTAGTGGCCTCCAGAATGTTTCTGGTGGCCAAGACCATGGAAACTAACAGAGAAGAACTCTATGATCTCCTGGAGACCCTCAGGAGACTTTCTGTCACCTCCAAGGTGAAGTTCATTGTCTTCAACCCATCCTTCGTGTATATGGATCGATATGCCTCCTCTCTGGGAGCCCCCCTGCACAACTCCTGCATCAGTGCTTTGTTCCTGCTCTTCTTCTCGGCATTTCTGGTTGCAGATTCTCTGATTAATGTCTGGCTCACTCTAACGGTTGTGTCCGTGGAGTTTGGAGTTATAGGTTTCATGACATTATGGAAAGTAGAACTGGACTGCATCTCTGTGCTATGCTTAATTTATGGAATTAACTACACAATTGACAATTGTGCTCCACTGTTATCCACATTCGTTCTGGGCAAGGATTTCACAAGAACTAAATGGGTAAAGAATGCCCTGGAAGTGCACGGGGTAGCTATTTTACAGAGCTACCTCTGCTATATCGTTGGTCTGATTCCTCTCGCAGCTGTGCCTTCAAATCTGACCTGTACACTGTTCAGGTGCTTGTTTTTAATAGCATTTGTCACCTTCTTTCACTGCTTTGCCATTTTACCTGTGATACTGACTTTCCTGCCACCCTCTAAGAAAAAAAGGAAAGAGAAGAAAAATCCTGAAAACCGGGAGGAAATTGAATGTGTGGAAATGGTGGATATTGACAGTACCCGAGTGGTTGACCAAATTACAACAGTGTGATAGAGTCTGCTTGTATATTTTCACCCTAGGTCTTATTGAGAGCAAAGAGATTATGTTAATGAAACAAATTCAAAGTTGTTCTTTCTTTTTTAAGATACAGACATTGCCAAAGTAAATGACAAGGGGGGAAATGGGCATTGCATATTTTCAGTCTTTAAAACAAAAGGATTGCTACCAGAAATAATTTACACACACACACACACACACACACACACGTCTCTTAAACTAAGATCAAGTAGAAGAAAGCTTATTAGCAAGCAGAATCCTATTTTACTCACACTGCAGATGTTGCTGATATTGTGACAAAAACCTACTGATTGAAAGGTCAGCTGCCAAGGCAGAAATAGCTTTAAGCATTGTTCAAACAATAAAGCTTCCAGAACTTCTGCAGAGCAGTAGCTCCAGGCAGAGTCTGTGGTTTGAGATCTTAGCTGTCTCATCTAGCTCCCCAGCACCCCAAGGAGATGCTTTCAAAAATTCTGGCCAGGAAAAGCAAGCCACAGCCTTGGAAGTGACCCATGGTAGAGTGGCCATCACCTGTGGAACGAAATTGAGTGATCCCTAAATTCACCCAGGTGAGGCAGTTTTGTTGTCTAGAATGAATCCATCATAGCCCCCATCAGTATACTTTGAGCATTTGTATGATTTGGTGAATACACCTTTAAACCAATGACAGCCCCAGCACTGCAGAGTTGTAGCAATTCTATTTTGGAATATCTTGTTGCTTGTCACCAAACGGAGCTGCTTTATTAGTTACAGCTCTTGGCAGGAGGCTCTGAGTACCCCAAACTGCAGAGCCAAACCCAAATACCTGGCAGGATTGAGGAAAAGCAGGTGTCAACTTGAACCCAGAGGCAGTGTCTCCATTTTAACAAAAAATACAGCCAGCTGGTACAGCTGTTTGTGGTTTGACCCTACATGCAGTTTTTGCGTGGATGCCCAGAAACAACATCTGCCTGTGCATAGCTGAGGAAGGAGAAATGAACACTGAAATGGTTATCTGCCATAGCTTTCAACTGGTAGAGCCTGTCTGCCTTCACTATGAGACATGGCTGCTCAGAGACACAGAGGAGAAAAGGAAGTTCTTTGGTGAGTGTTAAGTCCCGAAACTGAGAAACTTCGTAGAAGTGCCCGCAGGGAGATGAAGGACGGAAGTGGAGATAGATGGAAATGACTGGAAGATGTAATCACAAATACACAATTATCAATGATGGCAGTCAAACGTTCCTGCTAAGCTGGCTGCACTTTCATCTTCCTGGTACCCCCCCAACCCCCAACACTTTTGCTGGTGCCCGTCTAATGCGCTGCATGGCCCTTCTGTACATTAACGAGCCTAGATGTTTATACTGTTGATTGCAGTATTTACAGGCTAAATGGAAACACTTTGATTGGAAGTGGCTGTGTATGCTGCCCTAGACCCCTGCATTTCTTTATGTCTATAAAAATGAAGCTAATTCCTGGTCACATTTGAGGCAAATGTCTACAGTATTTTTCCCTTTTAGAGATGTAGCTTATTCAGACATCTATAGTGGTAAGCATTTCCCCAAAGCACCTTTGCTCTCTGGACCTTAGCGAATGTACTGTGCAACTCCCCCATCCTCCGCACAGGAGGAAACTGAGACCTAGGAGAATAAAGCGACTCAGCCAGGGTCACACCACTAGAGTGTTGCCATCATTTTAGCATGCCTAAGACAGGGCAGGCCACTTTAAGATTTTCCCTTAAGAGGGCTATTACTCCCTTCAAAGTACATTTCCAAGGAAAGAACATAGGACTTTATTGGCCACAAGGCAGACTTTTTTTTTTAATGTCTGGGTAATGTTTGGGATTTAGGTTTGCCATTGTCTTTCCAAACAGCAAAAATGCCCAAATGATTCAGATGTAACTGCACCAAGTGCAAACCTGTGCTTTCTATTTCCTGTACTGTTGTTCACACAGTTCTCAATACATAGCTAGTATATCATACACTTGTTCAGTCTCTCCTGCAGACACACTAAGTGATCATACCAATGTGTTATGCACTCAACTAGAAGATAATGAGCTTTAATCTGAGGACAAGTACAGTCCTCGAAAAAGGGCAAGTTCGCATAATAGACCTGCGATCAATTCTCTCTCCAAGGGGCCTGCAACTAGGCTATTATTTATAAAACACAGCCGAAGAGGGGATTGGTTTTATTCTTAAATCATATGTTGCTAAATCATTTTCTGAACAGTGTGTTCTAAATCAGCCATTGATTTAGTGTCGGCCACGTGGAGCACCTCGGGTTAAAGCGACTCCACAACACTGATACAACACACACACCAATTAAATGGATTTTGTTGAGAATTTAATCATTCAATTTGGTCAACCAGAATGACTTGCTGTGGAACTTTGTTTTATGACAGATAGTAGTTTTCCAACTTGATTGAGTCTCTGTATACCTTGGAATATTGTATTTTTAAATGAAGGGCATTTTCAACCTTGTCAACTTCCCTTTTCAGCACTTGAAATCAAGGCTTATGGAATTCTGACTGTGGAATGATTTTTTTTTTTTAACTAGGGGACTCTGCATGCCAAGATTTATCATTTATTGTTAGATCATTATTATTTACTTGTTAATGATTATTGCTCTGACAGCATCAGTTTAGCCCCACCATGGAGAAGACACTTCAGAAGCAACTCCAAATCACATTCCCATAAAATTTAAGTCTTTACTTCATGAAGTTTTACTTTTTCAATTGTTATAAAGAGGGAAGGAACAAGCCTAGCAAACACTTGCAAAAGTTTTATCTTTCAATTAATTCCAACCAAGACATTGATGTTCACTTTACCAAAGAAACTTATTTGGTTGGTTTTGAGTTGGTGTTTGTTTACCAAAGAAAACATTCCATTCATCAAAAATATTTCTCCTGGTCAACTAAAAAACTGTGATACTTGGGCGTTCTTGGCCAGTCATTGTGAAAAAAAGAAAAGTCAGGGTCAGGGTGATATTCTTTCACTAAACGGAACTCCGCAGAAAATGTAAATTCGCAAGAAACTTGGGGTTTGCAAGAAAGAAAATGATACCAGAACAGGGCATTATTGTTTAGCCCTATACCAATGGTACAACAAGTACCATGAGGGCTTTTTGGGCTAAAAGGAGGACATTTTCTCCACAGAAAAAAATAAGACTAACCCTCATGAAGCTCCCTCTTCATTGTTCCAGCTCCTAAGTTTTGTTTTGGTTTGATTTTGGGTTTGGGGGTTTTGTTCTGCTTTGGTTTGGTTTGTAGTGTTTGTTTGTGTTTGCTTGTTCTGCTCCCGTCTTTCCTACCATTTTTACCCCCTCAATTTTCACTCAGAAAGGAGGTAATCAGATGCCATCCTCCATGGCTATGGCTATTTATGCAATATGCTGCTCTAAATGAGGCCCTTTATAACCCTGTTATTTTAACTAACCACCACCCAGTTGTTCTAAGTGGCACTCCAGGACCACGGCACCACTTTCCTCCAGCCCCCGCTGTGGAGCGTGGCTGGGTCTATCTCAAGAACAGGTGGGTGGGGCAGCCACACTAGGGGTGTGGCAGAGGCAGAGCCTCTTGAACACAAATGGTATCCTCCTCATAATGGCTTTATTCCTTTGGATCCTATTAAAGTAGCCCTGCAGCTTGTAGGAGTGTTTGAACTCTGTGACTCTCTGTTTTCTCATCTGCAAAATGGGAATGATAACAGTAACTATCTCTAAATTCAGCAAATACATACTGAGTGCCTAATATCACCCAGATACTGTTCTAGAGACTGGGGACAGAGCAGTGAACAGATCAGATAAAATATACCAGCCCTGGGAGAGTCTACATTTGAGTGATGTTGCAGATTTACTGTGAGGGGCAAGGGAGATGATGTCCAGAAAGCGCTCATGGCAAGGGCTGGTGTAGAGAAGAAATTCAAGATATTATTTGTAATTTCTCTATCCCACACAGTAGCACTAGGGCCCATGATGTAAAGCTATAGAGAAGTACATTTTTTGCAGATTTGGGCACAGAATTAGGGCTATATGAAGATGCAATGTGTTCTCCTGTTCATTTCAGGACATTCAAAATTCAGCTGGATCACCATTTGGTAGGGCAACTGTCAAGAGGGCACAAGCTCTGGATGTTGGGGTTGGATTGTAATCCTTAAAAAAATGGGATATAGGCCCTTGGAGATGAGAGTCGGGAGGGAAGGGCACATGCTATTTAATTACTATGCCTGACTTGATTGAAGATATTCGAACACTCTTGCTGGGTAGTTTGGTTTTAAGTTTGTGCTACACAAAAAGCACCAGGTATTTGAAGACAAAGTTCCCACTTTTTAAAAGCATGGTAAAGCTGTGACATGGAGGAAAATAATAAATTAGTACTAGTGGATTCTCTGGCAAAGACCTGAGGATGGCTGCAGCCAGCACATGGCAGAGTTCCTCCCCGTGGTGGTTACAACTGTTTATTTCTGTTTCATGCCAGTCCAGGAGAAAGCAAAGAAGAAAGTGAATGAGCTAGAATCCGTTCACCCAAATAGGCAGTGTCATGATGTCTTCCCCAGCCTTGCCTCTCCCCTGCCCCCCTTCTGCCCAGGTATTCTGTTTGAAGTCCTCTTTGATATCTACTAGGGTACCATACAAGGAAGAAGAAGTGAGGCAACCAGAGAGCTATGGCCTCTGTGCAGATTTTCAAGTTAGATTAAAATTAGCACCACAAGTGTTCAGAGGAGCCTACCTGGAAGGGAAAGAAGGCTTTTTTCAAAGTACAAAGAAAGCAATGTATACCAAGGAGGCAGCCCACAGAGGAACCTTGGTGGAAGGAATGCTGTTCCTGTGGAATGTACCAGCCTCTTCTCCCTCCAGAATGTTCACACCAGTTGACTCTTTGGATAGAATTAAGCTTACTCCCTCATTTTTCACGTGAGAAAACTGAAACCCAGAGAAGTGAAGTTACATGCACAGAGCTAGTTAGAAGCAGATACAGGACTATAGTTCAAGTCTCCTAGCCTCAGTCCTTTCTCCATTCTGCCACTTTACTGCCAAATTCTATGTATCTAAATTATGGGGTCTTAACCTGGGGGCCATGAATAAGTTGGTGGGAGGGCAGGACTCTGAACTCCCCAAAATTAAATTAT